TCCTTTCGGGGCCTCAGTCTCGGTTCATTCAACGTCGTCGTCGCTTCGACACCGCCGTACGTACGCCGACCGTGCGTTCGCGGAGAACCGACGCGTGGAGTCGTGCGCCGACCGCGCGCCCGCGCTCTTATTTAGTTGTTGTTCAGTTCCCTTCTTTTTTTTCTGTAAATTTATGTGTGACCAATAAAAAGTGCATTGTCGAAACCACGGAGTACGCTCAATCTACCGATTGCAAAATCCAGCATCCCGCCGACGCGTCGTAAACAACTTGGATATTGGAATCAGCGTCGGATCTATATCTTATGTGGAAATACTTATTGGTGACAACCGAGGCAATCATATTATCCTGCCTTATGGAATGTGGAGGATGTTTATCGAGAGACGTATGGATATTGAGCAATTGCTGCAGTCAAGCGTCCCGTCATCGCTACGAATTCAAGATTTAGTTATAGATCTCGTAAAAATACGTAATGATAATATTGTTAAATTGACACTTAATGATACTTGTATGTTCATGAAACCGTCGACTATGGTTTTTATATTCGAACTCGAACATTGCGTTGAGCATGCATACTTTAATTTAAATCAAAATACGGACGCTGTTAGTAATAAGTTTAAGCATTTCGTTGATTATTTACGTCACAATTGTATTGTGAATAAAGACGATGCGATAAATATTTTGCATAAGGTATATGATAAAACGTCGCTTATTGAATGTGAACTCATAGTTCACTCATAGACGCTTACGCGTCAGATCATATTGTGCATGATGCGTTCCATAATTAATTATGTATTAAATATATACATTATGTGTTAAATGTATTAATCATGTGCTAAATATATATACATTGTCTGTTAAATATACATTATGTGTTAAATTTTTTTCGTTCCATATCTCTTCGTCGAATTACATCGCGCGCGAAAATCATGGGTGGGACGGAGATACCGCATGAGGGAGAGAGAAAGAAAATTGCAGCTGGGTCCGCGCTGGAACCCCCTTTCGCGACCCCGCGTCTAGTTATACCTATGTGTTATCATTTACCGTTGTATGGAGATGTGTCAACGTTAATATGTTGTGGTAAGTATCTAGATGCTTTGTCCTCACAAAATTATCGCGACATGGAGATGTAGTGGTAGGTATAACATGTACCTAGATGCTTGCACATTGAGATGTAGAAGTAATTATAACGTGTGTTTGAATGCTAGCGCATTTAATGTTTATCTTTCTCGGGTACGAACATCTCTGACTGCATTTTGAGTTGTAGTGTCAGTCCATCATGTATGAGGATCAAGAGTATGTACCGCCGCTGGCAAAACTAATAAGAGGTCGCGAAATTGGACACTATGCTTTTTTACATTACGACCAAAACAGACTTGGATACGATTTATTATGTGTTAAACACTTTACGAGTAAATGGGATTGTTTGTTTTGCACGAGAATTTCGGAGTGTATCATGTTGGATGATGATGAGAGGAACGACGCATGGGTGGAAAGCATGCGCCGGAAGGACGAGGCCGCGAGGCGTAGAAGATTGCTAGTAAGTACAAAAGTAATTACTCTCGAATATAGACGATGATTTTTATCTAGGATAAAAGCGATGTTTTGTTTCTTTCAGAATGATCTTCTAAATAGTGATAATGAAGACGATGACAACGACGCGAAAACGTCTTCGCAAAATCCGCGGGAGGATGCGAGCCCGCGGGAGAGCCCGCGGGAGAGCCTGCGAGGTAGCCTGGAGCTCGCAGGAGGACAGCCTGCAGGTGCCGCGGAGTCTGTGCGAGGAGGCGCCGCGGAGCCCGCAAACACTGGCGAACCCGTGTGAGGAGGCACCGCTGCGTGTGATTGTGCACGTAGCAACCGGTAGAAGGCAGGTTGCCTTTTACAACTAGGGTAAGTTTTTTTACATAGCTATCTTCCTTTTTGTTTCTCCTTGCAATTTTTTAAATTGCTTCCTTTTTTTGTCTGTTGCAGATGACGACGGACAGGCGGATTTCTTTCACGAATACTTTTTATATCATATTATTTTTAAATAAAAACTTTTTTAAATTTTAATTATAATAATATTTTGTTTAATTCTTCTCCTCTTCTTTTTCTATCGCGTACGATAACGGGTGGGTCCGCGAGCGATAAACGTGGGGTGGGGCCCGTGCGCAACGGCGGCGGCGGCGGCGAACGCGAGCGCGGTTCCCCTCTCCCCGCAACACCCGCACCCACGTCCCCGCGGTCAGGCCAGCTGATCGAGCGGCTTTCCGCGGCTTCCCCTCCCCACGGACCCCACATCAGATCGTGAACGTTCTGAGCGGCTTCCCCCTCCCCGCGGACTCCCCCTCCCGCGGACCTCCCGAGGACCCCCTGCCCCTCACCCCCCCTCGGAGCTCCCTAGTTAGAACCGGCCTATAATAGCTACTTGATATTTTACTCAACCCAAATGATATGTACCTAAAAAGAACTTGTACCAAAATTAAACCCAATAAAAGTTTTGATATCAATAACTGGCACTAAATTGCAATCCTATAAAAAAATTTTAAAGTAAAGATTTTAAAAAAATAAAACCTAAGTGGTACGTATCTTTGTACTCCCATTGAAGATCTTTCTATTCCAATCAAAGTGGTAGTAGCTTTAATTTTTTGCAAAATTGTGTTACCTTAATTAATCCGAGTGATATGTAATACATGCTAACTACTTTTTAAAAAATAAAACGCAAGTAGTACATACCTTTGTATCTATTCAATAGGGAATTTGCATAATTTTTAAAAAATATTGCATTTTGTAATTTATATGTATATCTTTAACTGTAATTTTGTTTTGTAATTTTTTAATTCAAATTATACGAGAAAATAAATAATAAAATATTGCATTATTTGAAATACCGAAGACGGTCCGGATACGACCGAGCCCTCCCGAACGCGTTGTGACGTCACACTGTAACACAGAAACCGCTTTTACTTAGCAAGAAATTAATTTATTTTAAAAATGAGCAAAAGAAACACGTACAAAACGTGTTTTGTACCTTTGTGTAAAAGTACAACAATTAAAACACCACATAAATTGTTCTTTTATGTGCCTCAAGTTGAAAACATCAGGAAAAAGTGGTTTAAAAGTGCTCATCGTGTTGATGAACCAGGAAAATGGAATTATTTTTGTTGTGAAGATCATTTCGACGTAAGTATTATGTAAAATATATTTTTTACGCTTGATTATAACATTTATAAAAATATTAAACAACGTATGTATATTTATGTAAAAATGTTATAACTTCATACATAACCTTACATACATAACCTTAAACATCAAATGTAAAGGTATTTTGGAAATTCATAAAATTATTACATCTAAAATTATTTTAAAATCATAATTTATAATTAATGAGGAAAACATGTTTTTTATGTGTAAATGCCATTTTTTAAACATTTATAATCGTATATTAATCAAATTTATTAGAATAATTTGCTTTTTTAATATTCTCAATTTTTTATTTATATTGCAGTTAAAAACGGATATGGATAATTATATTAGATATTGTATGATGGGAGCTCCAGTAAAGCTGAAGAAAGATGTGTGATTCCTTATATTTTTGACTGCCAACCTTATCGAGTAAAGACATTAAATAATCTTTTTCGACCTGCGTACAACAAATTAAACAGAAAAAGAGAAATTGCTGAGATTTTGTCAGAGACCGAAAACCAAAATAAAAACAATTTTCCAAGTACTAGTACTTCATCGCAACAACCTTTACATAAAATAAAGAAAATTGAAAATAATCGAGATTTGAATACTCCTGACGAAACTATTTTTATAGATTTGACAAATTTGATAAGTTTATATATCTTATTTGTAAAAACTAAAATAAAAGTTTATTTGAAGAGAAAGTGTAACAATTACTTTTAATTTATAGGACAATACAGTTATATCGCATGTACAGCCCACACAGACAACTTCAAACATTACAAGTATCTATTCAGAAAGAGCACAACTTATCTCAGAATTAGATTTGGATTCAAGAAATTTTGTAAGTTTGATAATTTTAAACTGACTACACCTTTAAAATTTATTTTAGTACATTTAATATAATGAATTATTTTATGTTCTATTTTAATTAAAATAAACTTTGTGTACTTCTAATCAATTATGTTACATTTAAAAAACTAGAAGATTTTCAAACAAAGAAAATTTGTTATTTTTAAATTAAAAAATTCTTTTCAAAATATAGATTTTTTAAATGCAAAAGTTCAGTTAATAAATATACAATCTAAATTTTAAATAGTCTATTTTTTTATGATATCTTTTATTAGGATGCTTTTTATGACTTGCATCATATACTTTTCTTATTTTATAAATAATTAATAAATAAATAATAGAATTTTGTTTTAAATAATACATTTAAACATGATGTTTTTAATTTGCAGAATGATGTACCAATTATATCACAGTCTGTATGTAAACCTTTAACTAGTGAAATAGAAATTGAATCAGGAAATACTTCAGTTTTCGTTGAATCAGCACACATTTCACCTAGATCAACTTCAATGCAAATACATTCTTCTACTAAACCAGAAAATAAACAAAAGCTATTAAGTTTTGGCAAATCTCCAGTTTCTAAAAATACTACAAATCTTTCTCAACGAAGTGTTGGAGTGCAAGTATATACAAAATTAGTAAAACCTCATATTCGAAGTAAATCTGTCATGTGCAAGCCTTGTATGACTGATGCATCTTGCCAATGCCAAATACAAATAAGCAAAACATGTTCACCAATAAAGTCATTATTTAAAACACCAGCAGCAACAAATTATGCTTCATCCAATTCAGAAGTAACTATTTAACTAATAATTAACTAGTAATAATTAACTAGTAATTTTTTAACAAGTTCAAATGAGTACTCGTATCAATACTCATCTTCTCTTTGTGAATATAAATCCTCATCAAGTTGCAGTGAGGAAAGAAAAGAAAATGAGAAAAAAATAAAAACATCAGCTTTAAATATAACAAGATATCTCATTAGTATACATGCAAAAAGATATATTGGGATTGACAACGAATGGTTGTGGATAATTGATTTATTACATTCTTCAACTACATGCAATATTGATGACATCAAATTAACTTTGATGAAAATAAGAACAAATGATACATTTAGTCGATTAGGAGATCAGTTTGGATTATCAACATCGCAAGCTAGTAGAGTATTTAATAAAACAGTGAACTCCTTGGCGCATTATTTAAAAACTCTTGTGTACTGCCCAGACCCAAGTAGCATAAAAAAGAATTTACCAGTGGCATTTCGTGCATACTACAGCCACGTATGTGCTATTCTAGATGCTTTTGAAATTGAAATTGAAAAACCATCTGATCCAGTGCAACAAGCTTTAACTTGGTCTGAATACAAGAAATGCAATACTTTGAAATATTTAATAGCATGCACTCCTGATGGATTTATTATTTTTATATCTTCTGGATATGGAGGCAGGATCAGCGATACTTTATTATTTCAAGAAAGTAAAATAATGCACATTTTACCAGAAAAATGTGGAGTTATGGCTGACAGAGGATTCAAACAAATTCAGACAATTTTAAATCAGAATAAGTGTGAGCTGCTTCGTCCACCGTCTGTCTCCACTTCTACAAAACCTACCAAACAAGAAATATTAAAAACCAAAAGCATAGCAAGTTTAAGAATTCATATCGAAAG